AATGACTTAGTACAATATTCACCAACTATGTCATGTCCTTTTGTGAAAAGTATGCGAACCAATAATGTTCAATACCTGCTTCCTTTTAATCTAATGGGTAATAAGAAGGCGCAACCTTTCCTTTTTAATATATCTTCTCCCTTTTTCCAAATTATCCAACATAACCCTTCCTCGGTCAATTTTCAAATACAGAATTTGCAACAGCGCCAGCAGGACCTTGATGTTAGATTACATAAAAGGGGAATCTTGGCTAATACTTTTTCGCATATTCAAAACGCAGGTGAATCTGTAGGACGGAGCCTAAAGTCTATTTATGACAAAACAACTACGCACTTATCGGAGGGAGTGAATAGAATAAAATGGTCTATCATCTATTTCCTCCTATGGGTTACGCTACCAGTATTGGTTATCATTCTTATTGTTATTGTTTGCATAATATATTTCAAACTTTATCTGGTTAGAAGAACAACGGCAACAGCTGCTACCGCTATGATGGATTTCGCTAAGACTCTCTCGACTAAACGCAGTAAGCGTCAGCGTCGAAACCAGATTAATACTGTATTGGTTGAAGAACAAAATACTTCCGAAGAACCTTTGTTTGTGCCACGTATTTATTCGGTAACTTCTTATAAAGATAGCAAACATCATAAGTTACCCTATATACGAATTCACATTGAGAATCAACCATTTACAGCATTAATAGATAGTGGAGCCTCAATCTCTTACATGAAACTTTCTACCCTGCAATCATTAGGACCCTTACCACCAGAAACTTTTGAACATGACTTTACTGTTGCCAGAGCAGCAAACGGTACTGAAGTGCAGTTATTAGCAACTGTTACTCCTCTTCTTAGGATAGGGAAGTATTTTATGAAACACCCATTTCAAGTTTCACCTGATGAACAGTGTCCAGCACCAGTACTGTTAGGATCAGATTTTATAAGACGACTCAACGAGATTGGCTTCAAAATTACGATAGATCTGCATAACCAATCTTTGACCATTGGCGATGAAAATTATAATTTGGTGCAACT